CCTGCTGCTGATAACACTAGCATAGGGTAAATTTGCTTCTGGTCCGTGATTTGATGATCAAGTTCAGCTTGAAATGATCTCTAGGTAAAGAAGAGCAAGAAAAAAATTTAACTGCCATTGGGAAACTTTTGGTTGAAGAACCGCTACATCAGCATCCCCTTTAAGGGTGACGATAAGCAACATTCGACCAGAGGACCGAAGTATCGACTATTGAAGATACTGCCCTGTTGTCGTGTCTGTGGTGGAATTACAACAAAGTTGTTATAACCAGGACCACGAAGGTCCCTGCTTCTAGCCGCGCGTTGGTCTAGTCTTGAATTCTTGAAGTCTTGAAGTGAATTACGGGTTCGAGGCTGTTAACCATATGTTCCGGGTCCATGAAAGGTATCTGTGTTTTCTTTTCGTTGAATCTTTTCTAGAACAGAGTGTGAACATCCACTAACTGCTGGTAGTTCTCTTAAATAGTTCATCGCCGGCTGACGGTACATAACTTTGATTGGTGGGGTTTGGGAAAATTCTGGTAAGAATCTTATGGGTGAGGTTTACTTTACGGAAGTGACGGGCTTGGTCGTGCTGAATTGACTGTCTTCGGTTTCCCTAATCTCTTGCTCTAATTTAACAACATCACGGGGTTAAATATAACAAATGTGAACATCTGCATTACAGTCTAGGTCACATACATCTCTAGCCAGTGCGGTCTTTCCAAGCTCATTCAAAGCACTATAATAGTTGAAGCAAAAGTTATTTCTGGAAGTGTCAAAGTTGCAATATCTAATGAAGGAACGTTCTCTGGAAAATTAATATCGCCGATTAATAGCGATGTGTGCTATATCTCGACGGTAAACGTGATTGTGCCCGGTACAGAAGGATCTTTGTTAGAATGGAAACCATTACGACGGACTAGCTCTTGTAATAAACTTACCTGATCGATAGTCTAAGATGCTACTTCATATCTGAACCTTGATGGTTCCGATAACTATGTCACGGTTATGTAACCGCATCCTGATAGCCCTAAATTACACAGGACTGGTTGGAAACTGAACCTGTTTTACTGCTAGTCCGTGCAGGCCCGTGATTTGATGATCGCTGCTGTTTGAATCGGTTTACAAGAAAATTTAGAGAAAATCAAGAGGCAAGAAAGAAAACTGCCGTTGTGAATCTTTCGGTTGAAGTACCGCTACAAGTGTGTGCTACCTGTGCATTGAGAGCGTAGGTCAGAGGCCCAGGAACTGTTCGGACTTTTGGTGCGTTGCCCAGAGGCAACCTCCTATTAGTGTGTTTCGATTGGATTCAGATCATTGCACTGTGCCTAAACCCTGGAAAACTGCAACCGTATTGGTCATCCACAAGTCAGGACCTAAACACATGGTTTGCAAAACTATAGACCAGTAAGTTTTATCTTGGTCTTCTGCAATTGTCTCCAGACGACAGTCAGGAGACAAATATGTTTTCACCTGATAACAAATAGGCTTCTGGTTTAAGTTCAGCATGGATTTGTTGAGAAAAGATCTTGTCTAGACCAAGTGACAAATAGATAAGACGCAGGTCACCAGCTGCAGATTTACTATTTAGTTTTCAGCCAAACTTTCGACTGTCAGTCATGAGCTGCTCGGTCTAAATATGCCGCCGCTGGGGATTCTAGGTAAGGCAAGGGAACGGATTAGACGATTTCTCAACTGTATGAGAGTTGCAAATTATACCACCAAACCTGAGGTAATACCGTATTTTGTCCCACAGGGATTGGAACTGGGTCCGTCAATATTTATGATCTTCATTAACGATGTGGCGAAGGATCTCAAAAGTCCTTGCTACATGTTCGCCGCTGATGTGAAATTAGCCGGAAAAGGATTGGAAAGAGATCTCAAAGTGTTGGAAGCCAACGAAACCGCCGACAACACAAGGAACTAGACGCGCGACTGGCACGAGCCTGGATTCGTTCTGTGAGAACTGAGCCTTGGCGATACGTTCAAATTAGGTTGCGTAGTGTTTGCTCTCTGTGAATTTCCGTTGAATTCCGTTAAAAAGCACGATAAAACAAACAATAAAGTCCGCTTAAACATTTTACCTTTAAACACAAGCTAGATATCAAAATATTTACCTTCCGGTACACAGGTTTTGAAGGGATTTGCAAATTAGGTTTATGTAAACCGTTTTCCATTAAATATTGACGCGCGTTTTACGTTTTTGTGTCGTACAGTCAATTTGGTTTCCTAAACTTATCAATTTACCTACAATACACATCTTTTTGAAAATATATCACGTGCCAACTTTCTGCGTCTAAACGAAGCGTGCGGAAAAAGGTGGAAAAGATTATCATGTGCGATTTATGTGAAGAGTGGGCTCATGAAAAGTATACAGGGGTGTCTTCTGAAATCTAGACTTTGTATTTTAAATGCCATGAGCTAGAGTGAGTGTGCAGCAGTTGAAAAGCGGCTGCACGCTACTATAAAGCCCAAGGTGCCATCCTTGGAACGTCACTAAAACTGGCCGAGACAAAATGAGTGGAACGTGAGGAAGTGAAGGCGCAGATGTAACAGCCAAAATATATGCTGAAGTGGTGAAGAAAAAACAGCCGAGCAAACCAGCACCATCAGCTCGCAAACCGCAACCAAGCAAGTAAAACATCATCTGAAAACTAAAATCTCAAATGAGTCAAATGTACTCTGAGTAACAGCCTTCATCACATGGAGAGCGAACTGCACAAATAGCGTGCAGAATTACCGTCGATCTAAGCTGTTATGGCAAATATAACGTCTAGGTACAACACCTTACTGGCCCTCAATAAAGAGAAACCAGTTATCAGGGAGGCTAAATCTCAGCGCAGACTGGACCGATGCCCAGTGATGAATATTCTCTGATTGGCTGGTCTAGATCCAAAATGCCACATCAAAAGGATTCACAGAGTAGGTGTTTGGAAGCAGCCAAACGGAATACCTGCGACCCGGCCAATACTAGTGAAATTCGGAGAAGCAAGATCAAGGTACCTGCCCTTGTTGAAAGCATCCCTCATATGTGGGTGCACGAAAGAATACTACGGCATAGCTTCTGACAACCCGAGACCACATGGGAAAGTAGGATATAAGGGGGCCAAGTGAAGGCCAGCAACAATTTTACGCGGCAGCCAACAAACATCCGTTACATAATCGAGGTTTTTCTTATAGAGAATATAATGGAGGGAGAGGAATGGAATAATTGCTTTCCGAGCAGGTC